ACGCCCGCATAGGAGAACTTTAGTAGGTGCGCACGCGACATTGGTCTATCTAAATCACTACAGTAGTCTCTCAGCGGCGGCGGCTTTGGGAACTCGCCGTCGCCCTTGTAGCATGCCGTCAGCAGGCTGCTATTGTCCATGGCCTGCGGGTCGGCACCAGCCTCAAGCAGGCATGTCACGCACTCCATGTTTGCGTCGCCGACCAGCACCGCCGACCGCAATGCCTTGGCGTGGTCGGCCATGACGCTGGCGCCATTAGCAATCAGCATCTTCACCACAGCCGTCCGCATGTGCGTCGCCGCGAGCACCAGAGGCTCGCCATCAAGAACATTGACGTCAGCACCGGCCTGTAGTAGCGCACGCACCACGCCTGTGAACCCCATGCCGCAGGCAATTCTCAGGGCCTCATCGTCATCGGCATGCACATCGATAAGGTGCTGCATGCGCCTGCACAAGTGCTCACTCCGGATATTAACTGCAGCCGACCCGCGCCAGTTCTCCAGCCCGCCGCTGCTTTCCTCAAACAGCATCTCGGGGCATTCCCGCAGCACCTGCCGCGTGCCGTCTGCCGTGTCAATGCTGTGCAGACACATTCGCAGGACCTTTTGCACTATCACTGTCCAGCCGTGCGAGCACGCAAACCGAAATATCCACTGGTCGTCGGCTCGCGGGTCGGCTCCCAGGTTCAGCAGCAAAAGCACGATGTCCTGGCGTATCAGCTGGGGACGCCGGCCATGCAATCCCAGCTTGCCATCCAGCACACGGTGGCGGCCAAATTCTGCCAGATAGTAGTGTGCCCGTACTGCCATCGATTGTGACACTTGGTAGAAGCATCGCGAGACCTGGGCCAGCGACGGCCACTGCGCGAACACGAATATCTGGCACAGAATGTCAAATGGCAGGGCTTTGTCGAGGGCTCTACTGCCTGGGGAGCCGCTGTATTTGTAGGACATTAGAAATTCACAAGGGGCATTTGGAAGGAAGCAGAGTGGAATTTACAAAAAAGGCAAGACAAGAGCAATTAAATGAGCGAAGGAGATAAAAGAGCAAGAGGGCATGGCTGCAAGGGAGGGTGCGGGACAAGGCTGATTGGCGTGCCTGCTGGAAGGCGTAGTGTCTTCACTCATCGTCGTCAGAGTCAAAATCACACAGTTCAAAGTCAATCCTTGTTCGGCCCAGTGCACGGGGCTCGGTCTCCATGCTGGCCCACCAGAACGGCTCCTTGTCGCCCACCACCGTGCTGCTGCTGCTCGCCGCCCGGACACCAGCAGCCGGCTTCGGAATAGTCAGGCTAGGCAGACCCTGGCGCCCATGCTGCAGCTTCGCCGCGCTGCCACCACCAGGCCGGCTACCCGAAAACGAGCCGGGCCCCGCCAGCAGCTCGCCCGCCTGCTTCCCCACCGAGCTGACCATCGGCGCAACCTCCGGCGGCGTCAAGCACACCTTGACAATGGACCGGTCGATCCTATTCGCCTGGCGCTCAATGTCCACCAGCGAGGGCGCAGCCGCGTCGCACTCGGCCATCTTGCGCACCGCCGCCGTATTGGTCGCAGCCGAGTAGTCGACTACCTCGTAGATGTGCAGCTGCCGGGCTCCCTTGGCGGATGCGCGCACCAGCGCCAGAAGCAAATACGCCGGGGCTTGGCCGCCGTCCCATGTGGCCGACGGCGGCGGGCTCAGTGGCGATACCGGCGAGGTCGGCGCACTGCCGGGCTGCAGGAACTTGAGCTTGCCCGTGATCTGCCCGAAGAACTTGCTGACCATGATCAGCGGATCGGGCGACTGCGGCTCTGGCGATGCCAGGGTTGTGGTCGCCAGGCTGTTGACCAGCGGAGCCAGCTTTGCTGCCTGGCTATCGCTGCGTTTCCGCGGAGCCGCCGACGCCAGCACGCTGCGGCAGGCATGGACGACGCGCGCCGCCGCCCTTCTCTGTCTGATCCGCGTCGTCTCGGCAAGCAGCTGCGGCATGTCGAGCTCCTCGATGTGTCGCGGCAGACATTGCAGGAAGCCAATGCACTGCTCAAAGTCCATCGACAGAAGCCGCCCCCGGACCGCCAGCAGCACGGCGGTGAAAAAGTCAAACAGAAAGCCCAACTCGCTGCAGTCCTCGTCATCGCCCGATGCGCTCTGCTGCACACGCACATTGCAGTCAAGTCTGCCTGCGGAAAAGTTCACCGACCGGAACTGCTCCGGGTGGATCAGCTCCTCGGTCCCCTCGCACGCTGGCTGCAGTGCTCTGGTCACCTCGCGGTCGAGCAGAAACTCGGCTTCGAGCCTGCTGTCGTCGCTCTGGCTTTGGTCGGCTTCAGGCTGCTGCTGGGCCGCCGTCAGCCGTGCCCGATTCGACATCAGCGCGTCCCACAGCAACAGGACATCGGGCAGGGCAAACTCGCGCGCCCCCCACACCAGCAGCCAGCGCAGCGCAAAGTGCTCAGGCTGGATCCCCAGGCCCTCCAGCTTTGCCCACAGCTGCCGGTCCGCTGCCCGCACGCAGCTGACCCACCAGTACTTTAGTGTGTGCTGCAGGCCGCCGGTACCGCCTGTCAATAGCATCGGCACCTCAGGCGACGTTGGCCGCGGCGGACTGCGCACGCCTGCGTTTTGCACCGAATGCATAGCAGCCACATATGACACAGCGCTGCCCGCCATCAGTGCTGCTGCCAGCACGTCTCCGTGCTGCACTTTTTGTGGCCGGGCTTCCTCTGTCTTGGGGGCAGCCAGCGTACTGTCCATGGCAGTAATAAACATATCCAGATGCACACCGCGCAGCGCCAGAATAAACAAATGGAACGCATCCGCCTCGCAATCGGCATGCGAGTACCCAGAGACCTTCTGCTGGCTCCCCGCCAAGACATAGTAGAGCGGCGCCAGAATCTCGTTCATGCCCTGCGCGTAGCCGGCGCCGCGATTGAACTTTGCGTGCACATATAGAATCCGCGCCATCGCCTCCTCGTGCGATGCTGCGCTCCGTCCCAACCGCCCACTGCCATCTGTGTTGCCACTGACCGTCGCGCTGCCCATGACGTTGGCGACCTTTTCGCCCAGCGACTTCTTCAGATGCTCGACCTGCCACGTCAGCGAGCTCTGCACAGAGTCGCTGCGGTAAATGCTGCCTCGAGGCATCCCGTCTAGCGACTCCGAGCTGCTGACTGCTGTGCGATCACTGATGTTTGTCCCACACCGCGAGGTATTGTCTGCCGGATTGTCCATACTGTTGTGGAACAGCGCAATGTCGGGCATCGTCCGATCCACGTCCACCCGAATCTGCGCTGCTAGCCGCGCTGACTCCTCAGTCGAAGCAATATCTGACATGACCTCGTAGTAGGAGCGACGGTGCTCGCCAAGCACCTGGGTCCACCGTGAACGCTCGCGGGGAAGGTACCCGAGAAGCAGCTGCCAGCAGAGCGCACGCAGCCCGGGCACCTCGGGGATGCCGCGGAAGCACAGGCTCGAGAGCTGCTGCAGGTCCAGCCGTGGCTTGCTTGAGCTGAACAGCACGTCGTCAAACTCGACAAGCCTAAAATACATGGACTATTATAAGCGTGAGGGATGTGCGTGTAAAAAAGGCGGTGTAGATAGCTAGTGAAGAAGAGTGCCCAAGGATGTCTGCAAATAAAAAGGAGAAAAAGAAAGCGCAATGCAGCCCTGCGAGGGGTTTGCGCAGAGCGCTTTGCTGGGATAAAAGCATTCCGCCTTTCAGGGACCACGGGCCCACTGTAAACCGGTTTTCACTATATCGCCTACCTCTTTTCAAGCACTATTGATGTCATTGACGATTTGTGTGTATAAAAGTACAATATTAGAGACGCGTGTAACTGCGAGGAGTATAAAGGGAAGAGAGATAATGGCTGTTTTTAAGCTTGTCTAATAATTGCGGTGGAGGGAGGAAAGAAAGGGAGGAAACCACAAACTGTCCGCCATCAGCGCAAGCTGCGCCTCTGCCTGCACGAGCGTCTGGCAAAGAACATGCGAGGCAGGCAGCGCAGCACAGTCTGGTGCACAGCAGGCAATGGCTGGCACTCTGTTGCAACCCCACTTCCACTGGAGCCCTCGTCACGTGTCGTTGTGACCACAACTGGCAGCCCAAGGACCAACCAGGGGAGCCCCTTTTGCTCTTTGGCTCCTTCACTGCCAAACCTTCCACTTCAGGCCTTCCTGTACATAAATTATTGAAGATTCCCAGAATGCCGTCGCCAGCCACGCTCCAAAACACCCGCCCGACCGCCGCCAGCGAGCACGCCAGCAGCAGCGAGTCCAGTTCGCGCGCCAGCCCCGCCCTCAGCAACCTGGCAGGCTCCCGCACACGCATGCTGGGCGGCCCCGGTACGCCCTCGCACGGGTCGCGCACAATGGTTATATCGACGAGCTCGCGCGAGGAGTCGCCCGAGGGGATCCTGCATCTGCGCGGCCACGAGCGACGTTCTCCGGCAGGCAACCGGGTGCAGTGGACCGACGACACGGTTGACAACGAGCACATGGGGAAGAAGAAGTCGAAGGTCTGCTGCATTTTCCGGAAAGCAGCGGCAGTTTGGCGAGTCGGACTCGGAGAGCAGCAGCGGCGAGTCTGATGACGATGGGCCGAACGAGTACGAGCGCATGCCCAGGCACAAGCCCAGGGGCAAGCACAGCCACCATCATCACAGCGGTGAGTGCCAGCACTAGAGCGTGATCACAGCAAATCGATTAAGGAATTTGCACTCGACAGCGTATGGCTGGACGACTCCGTCTGCTGCTGCATGCGTGGAAGCCTTCAGCAACAGCAGAATCAGGATGCCAGCCAGCTTTTGTGCTAGCGTTAATGCCCAAGAATAGCTTCCTAGAAAGCGCCAAAACTGCCCTCCCCAACACCAACCAGGAAATCACCTTGCATGCGCGGACAGATGCGCATACGCACGCAACTAGTTGGCTCAAGCTGGGCTCGTAAAGCAGCGAAATAAAACAGCAAAAAAAACAGCAAAGAAAACAGCAAAAAAAAAAACAGCAAAAGAAAACAGCAAGTTCAACTGTATGAATGATCCGCAATGTACATGCAGGATAATGGCAACTCCTTCACCCTAGCTGTCTTTGTAAGCTGCCTTTTTTCTCGCGATTTCCCGAGTGTGGCGTCTCTCGCTAATGCCAGCGCAAATTGGGAGGACTGCCTCGAATGCCAAACAGCTGGTGATCCCCTGTCCCCCGGCTTACGCAAAAGAGTGCCTCACAACCCCGACTCGCACGCTCCCCCGATGTCCGTCCGTAGCCGCTCTGCTACGAGCAATGTCCGACCAGCTCTTTGAGGCATATTATCTTGCAGCAAAAATCTCTCTTATAAAGCACACGGGTATCCTGCAGTCCATTGTTCCTGCAACATCCCTCTGCATCCCCACCCTCCTCCCTGCTATATCTCCGCCTATTACCTACTACCTATAAAATGCGTCTTTCGAGCTGCATTCTCCTTTTTGCTGCCGCAGTGCAAGCAAAGCGAGTTGTCCACAACTGGGACATCACCTACTTGAACACCAGCCGCGGCCTGGACCAGGCGCCGAAGCGCGGCATCACTGTCAATGGAAAGTTCCCGCTGCCCATTGTTGAAGCTGAAGTCGGCGACCTTCTGGTGCTCAATGTCCACAACTCGCTCGACGTGCCCACTTCTCTGCATGCCCATGGTATCTACCAGCATGGCACCAACTACTACGATGGTGTTGGCATGTTCACCGAGTGCTCGATTGCCCCCGGCAGCAACTTCACGTACGAGATCCCCCTGAAGCAGTCAGGAACCCATTGGATCCATGGACACACAGCCGAGCAGAACTTTGACGGGCTGCGCACCACCCCTCATCATCCGTGACCCCCGGGAGCGCTGGGACTACGATGACGAGTACTTGTTTGTGCTTGAGGACTGGTCGCCCGTGGACCATGCAGCAGTCAATGGATTTCCTGCTGAAACCGAACCTGGCCGGCCTGCCCCTCAACCCGCCGCCCCACGGCCTCATCAACGAGTCAATGGCACGCTTACCAAGCCCATCAAGTTTGAGCCTGGAAAGACCTACCGCATCCGCCTTCTCCCGATGACGAGTTTCCCGAACCTCGAGTTTTGTCATTGACGACCACGACCTGATTCTGTACGAGATCGATGGCGTGCGCACAAAGCCCAAGACGCTGAAGACTATCCGTGTTACCCCTGGACAGCGCGCCTCGGTGCTGGTCAAGGCAAAGCGGTCAAGGTCGAACAACTACTCGTACCATGTCACCATGAACTCGCCGGGAACGCCTGTGCTCGCTGGTGCCCTGCCATTCACATTCAATGGCACTGTCGAGTACGACCCCAAGGCGCCGCCTTGGCTCCACCACTGTGATTCCGTCTGAGGAGTTCGATGAGCTCACCGCCGAGTCGCTCGACTACCTGCCGGCGCTCCAGGACCGACCACTCACTTCTTCATGAACGCCACGTGGGGATTCACGCCAGACGTCGTCCTGTACGATACCTTCGACTATGTTGAGTTCCGCGCACCCAAGGTCCCAACACTGTTCAGCGCACTGACCATGGGCGACAAGGCCAAGAACCCGCTCATCTACGGCCCACAGACAAATGCCAGGGTGCTAAACTACAACGAGGTCATTGAAATAGTCCTGTTCAGTACCTCGATTGCACCCCACCCATTCCACCTCCACGGCCACACGTTCCAGGTCAATTGAGCGTGGCATGCTTCATGATGTCAATGGAACCACCCGCCGCACCGTCCCAGCTATGGCTTCTCGCCTCTTCGCCGCGATACTGTGTTCCTTGGTCCATTCCAGTATGTTGTGATTCGCTTCCGCGCCGACAATCCGGGTGTGTGGCTCTTCCACTGCCACATGGACTGGCACAGCCCGAATCTCCGTAGTGTATTTGTTTCTGCGCCTGATGTCATGCAGAGGACACTGAGGGTCCCGCAGTCAGTTTTTGACCAGTGCCGCATTCCAGGGTATTCCGACCAGCGGAAAACGTGGTTGGTAGAAATGACTAACAACATCGACGGTGCGCCAATCCTTCCTGCACTCCTAGCCAGCCCTCCTCACTAATGGCGCTGCCTCATTACAATAGACGCACACATTGTTGATTAGTGGATTGCAGATGTGATACAAATGGCAATAAATAGCAGCATCACAAATAATCTATTAACGTATTGAGTATATGTACCATGTACCACGAAGGTATTAGCTCCTCAAATGCGCAGATCTCTGCTGCAGACTGATTCCATCTTGGGTGAGCCATCAAACCAACATACTATATTATGATAGAGCTGCTGACAATTCTGCATTTAGATATGTGCATTGTCCATTTTGTTGTCTGTCTCTTGCCATTTTCTGCTGATGCATTGTGCTTGTATTGAGTATGTTGGGACCAATTGTCGCTAAAAAAGAATGGCACGGTATATGTGATGCAGACACCTGATACACAGTCCTAGCGGCATCAGGTGTAGTCATTTGGCGGAATTGCGGCTGTTGTCTGCAGCCAGTAGTGGAAAATGTTGAGTACAAGACATTTGTGAATGCGATAAGCAGGATGTGCCCAACACCATTGGACACAAGAAATGCCAACCACATTGATGCAGACCGAAGCACAATTCTAAATCTCAACCAAACCAATGCAGCGTGGCGATGAGTTCCTTGGGCAATCTATCGTAGCCATTTCTCCCTCTACCTTTTTGTGTTTTCAATTGTTCTAAGCATGCCACCAGAGTTCTGCAAGGCATGGAGCTGGGCCCGAGATAGGGTATATAAAGCAGCAGACATCTGACATGCATTCTTATTTCAAACGCATCTCAGACCCACACTTTCATTCGTCTACTTCATTCCATCTCATCATTCCTGTAATGCGTATTTCAAACAGCATTGTCCTTTTCGCTGCTGCTACTGCTTGTGCTGCACAGGCCAAACAAGTTGTCCATGACTGGGACATTGCTTATCTCACTACCAGCCGTGGCCTGGACCAGGCGCCTAAGCGTGGCATCACTGTCAACGGAAAGTTCCCTCTGCCTGTTGTCGAAGCCGAAATTGGCGATTTACTTATTCTCAACGTTCACAACTCGCTCGATGTGCCTACTTCTCTGCATGCTCATGGCATCTTTCAGCGCGGCACCAACTATTATGACGGCCCTCCATGATCACAGAGTGCTCAATTGCTCCAGGAAGCAACTTTCGTATGAATCCCCCTGAAGCAGTCAGGAACATACTGGATCCATGGACACACAGCCGGGCAGAACTTTGACGGACTCCGCACGCCCCTCATCATTCGTGATCCAGCGAATCCGGGGACTACGATGGCGAGTACCACCTGTTTGCGCTTGAGGACTGGTCGCCGTGGACCATCCAGCAGTCACTGGATTTCTTGCTGCAGCCCCGCCAAACTGGTCTGCCCCTTGATCCGCCGCCTCATGGTCTAGTCAATGGCTTCAATGGGAATCAGACAAAGCCGATCAGATTCGAGCCTGGAAAGACCTACCGCATCCGCCTTGTCCCGATGACCGGCTTCCCAGCCATGGAGTTTTCTATCGATGACCACGAGCTGATACTGTATGAAATCGACGGTGCCCGCACGAAGCCTAAGGCTCTGAGGACTATTCGTATGACTCCTGGCGAGCGTGCCTCGGTGCTGGTCAAGGCCAAGGAAACCAAGGACAGAAACTATTCCTATCATATCAGCATGGTTACTCCCCGTGCTCCGGTAATTCCTGGATCCTTCCATCTATCTATAACGGTACTGTTGAGTACGACGCCAAAGCACCGCTAGTTCCGACCACCCAGATCCTGTCAGAGGAGTTCGATGAGCTCACTACCGAGTCACTTGACTATCTGCCAGCACTCAAGCCCGATCGTTCCTTCAGGAATGCGACCCTGGGGTACACCCAGCTGCTGTTGTCTACGATACTTTTGATCTCATTGAATACCGCGACCCAAGGTCCCAGCAATTTTCAGTGCCTTGACCATGGCGAGATGGCCAAAAACCCGCTCATCTACGGCCCGCAGACCAATACCGAGGTCTTCCAGCTGGATGAGGTCGTCGAATCGTCATATTTAGCACGTCCAATGCCCCACACATGTTCCACCTTCACGGCCACATGTTCCAGGTTATCGAGCGCGGTCAGGTCAATGATACCGCTGGAACCACCCGCCGCACTGTCCCCAGCCATGGCTTCTCACCTCTTCTCCGTGACACTGTCTTTGTGACCCCGTTCACATATGTGGTGATTCGCTTCCGTGCGGATAACCCAGGTGCCTGGCTCTTCCACTGCCACCTGGACTGGCATACACCCAATCTTCGTAGCGTGTTTGTCACTGCGCCCGATGTCATGCAGAGGACACTGAAGGTCCCGCAGTCTGTTTTGACCAGTGCCGCATCCAGGTATTCCAACTAGCGGTAACGTGGTTGGAAGGCCCAGCTATGACATCGACGGTGCTCCTGTTCTCCCTGATCTCCTGCCCTGCCCACCATCTCCGCTTTAGTGGCTTGACAGATAGGCCAATCGTGATCTTTAGGATACTTTCCACACACTGTTTGAAAACTAATTAGAGAAATATGATGCAGTTAACCAATTTCTATATGGCATAGCTGCTATATATGAATTACCAGAAATCCTGGCCCAACCCATTTCCTTAATGTATCACATGTAGTGTTTATCAATCAATAGTTGAAAATTGCAGCTCAAGCTGTTGGAATCAAACGCGCACTTTTCTCGAACACACAAATTGTATCAGAATAATGGATGTTGACATAGACGATAGCGAGGCAACACCAACGTCGGCTGCTGCGGCAAGATTACCGCAATCTACTGACCAGTGCAACTGCGCGCAAGAAAGAGTACCTTGAAGGTAATACGGACCTTCTACTGCAGGACCTGGAGCGGGCCAATATGCTATTCGGCACAGTCAACAACACTAGCGAGGGCGTCCTGGACTCGCAATTCCTGATCCTGTCTGCTGACATCAGCGCGCAGAAGGCACATCAAATGCGCATCGACAGCGCCGCATTCGACTCGCTCGAGTATGTCGAAAAACTGCGCGAGACATTGTACGGCACCGACGCTGACATGCAGCAGCAATGACCGCAAGCAGCAGATTGGGCGAAAATAGGCGAGGTTGCTGCCAAGTTCACACGCAAGGCCCCGCGGTTCAGCTATATTTACGGGCCGCTGATGGCTGAGGTTAAGCACAGGAAGCGCACAGTGCAGCAGCGCGGGCGTCGAAATGGGGGCCGACCAGTCACAGGTGGCGAGCATTGAAACTATGGAGGCCGGAGACATCAAGAAGCAGGAGAACCAGACGACAAAGCTGGTGCGCAAGGTGCACAAGATCTTGACCGAGGTTGGGCCCATTAATCTGTTCAAGCTGGTCATCAACCCACAGTCGTTTGCGCAGTCAGTGGAGAACATATTCTATGTGTCGTTTCTTATTCGCGACGGCAAGGCCTTTATCGACGACCAGTCGGCCAGCCCATGATAGAGGCGTGCGAGCCGCCACAGCAGAAGACTATGCAGGGGCTTTCCAGCGGCAGCTGATCTTCCTGGAGTATGCGTCGTGGAAGGAGATTATTGAGGTGTACAAAATCGTCAACTGCTCATCCATCTCGCAAGACCAAGATCGGTCCGACGCGGATGTCTCAGATTTCGTCGCAGGTTCCTCTGTGAAAGCCAGT